GTGTAGTCTTGGCTGTCCCGACTCACTTTGTAGACCAAGCTGGCCTCGAACTCACAGAGATCTGTCTGCCTCTGACTCCAAGTGCTGGGATTAAAGGTATACACCACGACAGCCACCTGGCTGTGGGTTTTAAAATAGAGGTTTCCAAGTCAGTCAATATGCATCATAAAATGAGAGATTATTAATACGTGGTTTTTAATATATGTATAATTATTACTGAAAGATTTTTTACATTTTACATATAGTGTAGTATATAGTAAGTGTGTAATGTATAATTATTGAAGATGTATATTATATTCATTAATTAACTAGTTATTATTATATCTGGCTAGTTTAGTCTCGAACTTTCAATATTGTAGGCTTGCCTACTATTTAAATCCATGCATGCCAGGCATGAACACTTCTTGGTCCATGGACACTTAACACCGTGTAAGCCTTTAAGCTGCACTAACTTACCACACAACAGTAGAAAACCTAACTCACAAAGTGATATGCTTTACACCGTGCTATTCTCCATTATTCTGTGTTACCAACTGGGCTTGCTAAGTCTGCTTTCTTAGGACTGAATCGGCATGAAGCTTAGGTTTATAGGCTCCTTTTATATTTGTTTATTCCAGGCTCCGGAGAATTGCCCTTGGTAGGCATATTTTAATAATCCATGTAGATCCCAGAAGGGGAAATACTATCTGTGAAAGGCCTGGCCTTGAGCTCATGCATCTTTGTTCTCGACTCTTCAACAGTGTGGGGAACTAGAAGATACGATCTTCCCTTTATTGTTGAGACACTAAAACCTAAAACACTGTGTGAAATAATTTTACCTCAAATCATCTCCTAGGATCGTGGAGGACAAATTCAGCCCGACATTTATGACTGAGATTGTACCTTTTGGAAATTTCCCCACGACAGCTTAGTCAGGTTTTACCTGAAACCTCGAGACAAACTTAGGCTCCTGCTTCATAATCTCTACGTACTAAACTCTGTTGTTCCCACAGATGTGGTCACAGCATTTGCTGCATTCATTCATTTCCTTGGAAGGGTAGAGTAACAGTCCAGCTGGAGAAAGAAGATGCCCTTCAGCAACTAGAGCCACTGATTCCTTTAGTGAGCATGAGCCAGGGCAGAATGTACTAAGTGAGAAGTAAATGCAGTCACCTTTGAACAAAGCAGTGACTGAGAAGTGTCCATAAGTGAGCTGGAAGAAAAATGGCAGTGGGAAGTCTTTGAGGGAACAAAACAGGATTCTGTCGGTTGATAGTAGACTGAGGGCCACAGACATAAAAATGTTTAACACTGTGAATTCTTAAGAGATCATGTATTATTCATTTGGTTTCTATGAGAAAACTATACATACAGTCAGCATAAATTTGTTGAATTGATTTAAACTGGAGTATAGCGGCTTCCTAAGGATTTTACCATTTGTTCCTAAGCATCCTTTGCAATTTGGGGTTTGAGTTTCCCCCTCTGCTCTGAAGGTATCACAGTCAAGACTGGTTTGTCTGAAATAAGGCTCCCTCCCTCTCTCTGTTCTTCTGAGATCAAAGGCTATTTCATCTGATGAATCTTGACAGTTGTCTGAACTTGTCTCCTGCTATCCTTAATGTCTACAAAACAGACTCACTGGTTGTTATGCTTTTGGAAAATACGTCTTATAAATAAGAAAACGAAATAATTGAGAAAGCAAGTTCTCAAGACCTCCCCTGTTGCCTGGTTCTGTAGGGCAGCTGACGTTTGAGGTAGCTAACTCTTTGTCAGAACATTGTATCTTGGAACATCCCCCACCTCTTCCGCTGAGATGCTCGTAAGCCAAAAATGCCTCTAGACAGCCAGTATCTTCTAGAGGTCAAAACTGCTTCGGGCTGAGAGCCGCTTAGCCAATGTATCTGTGAGGTCTCCAACTCAGCCAGCTTTTCATTGACAATTGCACAGTAATTTCAAATGCAAGATGTTCTGTTTTATGAAGACCTTAACAATTCCTTTGGTCTCGAGTACCATGCCCTCCTGAAGCCTTGTCCTCAAGGATTTGTACTTTACATACTGTAATTGCTTCTTTCATAGATCCTTCTGCCTGTTTGTTCTCCAAATCTTCTCTGTCCACACCCTCTTAAGAATGGAGAACCACCACCAGTAAACACTATCTCCTGACCCAGCCTGAAATATCAGCCTTACCTACCAGCTGCAAAGTCTGTGAAGTGCATCAGGTTTGACAGCACACATGCTCCAAGTTCTAAATATCACCCGCATCTTTTTTAAGTATCTGTACAGTCTTCCTTTTGGACTTGAGGATCAAGAATTTAAGAAACAACAGACCAAACCTGATTATAAGTACCTGAAACACTTGCTGATTTACCAGCTGGGGAAGAAGCATGGTGAGGGTGGGTGGGAAGAGCCAGCATTCTATATATCAGACATTTGACACCCAAACTATAAAAGGGCAAGGTTGCTCTTAAATTTCCCCCACAGACTGGGATTCTCTTACTCCTGCAGGCGTCTGAAGAAAGGAGCAAGCAGATCAAACAGGCAAGATTAGATCTGCAGGGCCTGCAGTTAAGCCCCTGTCTCCCTTTGCCCACGCCTAGAACCAAGAGTCTCCTGGGCATCCTGGAAGCTTTCCACACGCTTAGTTGGGAATCTAATGTTGGAATGGAAGAAACTTAGAGTTTGTGACCTATAGTAAACAAGAATACTGAAGATGGCCTTCTTATGAAGAAAGGAGGTTAAATCTGAGATTTTTGGTCTTTCCTTAAGGATACCAAGGATGGGAGATACATGCTCTTTGTAGAATTAGAGCATTGTGGGAAGCAATATCAGATACCACTTAGATCCTTGTCTCTTGGAGATACTTAACGGCAAGTTTTTTGTTTGTTCTCTTACCAAGATTCTGCATCCTCCCTAACATCTTTATTAACTGTGAATAGGAGGGGGAAATAAATTATCATTTCCTTTAGGCACCCAAACTTTCATGTTGATGATTAGAGAAAAATTACCACCTGAAAACGACCCGAAGGCTTCACATTCTGACTCATGTACACCTCAGCTGCCACCCTGAGAAGTAGACGTTTTTGTGACAGGTTTTACATGGAATTGTTTCGCAGTAAAGCTAGCTTCCATGGTTGGAAGTCTTTAGAATAGGATTAAATCCCCGACATGTGATTTGGGGGCCATCTGGCTTCTGCAGGATTCTGCCTCCAGGACTGGCACACGTGAAGGCTGCGGTACATCTGTACCCATCCTATCCCTGTGCTGTAAAATTGCAGGTTGGGCCATGTTCTTCCATTTGTTGAGGCTTGCGATGGTGGAGTCCTAGTTTTTGGAGGTTTTTTCTGTCTTGGCCCAAAGTATCTAAGTGTCCCAGACAAGGTAGTAAATCTTTACCAACAGAGACTCTTTCCTTGCTCTTTTTTTCTCTTTCTCCCTCCTTCTGGCTGCCTCCCACCTGGATTTCTTACTTTCTCTCTCAGTGCCTCATGTAGTGCCAGGTATTTAATAGATGATAGACCAGCTACGAGAGACCTTAGCGTGATTAAAGAGCTTCAGTGTCACTCATACAGTCACCCTTCAATCTGCTGTGTGATAATCACTTCATGTATGCACAGGTTAAGACTTGAAGGTCATTTTGCAAATGTTTTGAATGAATTTACTTGATTTTGGTTTAACATCATTTTCTCTCTCTAAACAAAAACTTTGAGGGCACATAAATGACTTGGTTTTGCACATCTTATTTTTTGAATGGAAAGCTCCATTTGGAATCAAGAGGAAACTTGTTCTGAGCATAAGCTTACAGAGGAATTGTGTTGCCAGTTAAAGCTTTAAGAATAACAGAATATAGAAAGAATTCTGGTCTTGGCAATCCAAGAGCACTGAAATCACTTTTTCAAGCAGTGGAGAAACAGGCTCAATTTCTGATATATTGTATATATGTACCTGTGTATACATGTGTGTTGTACATGGGAGAGGGCGTGTGCCAGGGGTCAGCCTCTGGTGTCATTCCTCCTCAGGTGCCATCTACTTTGTTCTTTGAGACACTTCTCAGGGACAAACAAAGAAACTCAGGGTCCCCCAGCTTCGGGTTCTGAGCACTGGGGTCACAGGCACTACACCCAGCTTTTAACAAGAGTCCAGGAAGTTGAACTCAAGTCCTCATGATTATACAGCAAGTATCATGCTACTGACCCATTTCCCTAGCTCAGCTTCTTACTTAGTTTATCCTTAACTCACTTCCAAACATCTCTTGAAACCTGTTTTGTCCCTGTCTAGCATTAACAATTGTTCTATTGTCATTTGTTGCCTTCTTAAGACAATTTTTTTTTTAAGTTGCTTTTAGGCGTACAAATACAACACTTGTTGGGGCCAGTCTGAAGTAACCTTTTTGAGGACTGGCTTGATCTCATTTTCAGCCTCTTTTACACTGTATTTCTGGAGTAAAATCTTTTCACCAATCTATTACACACAAATTAATGTAGCTGCCTCATCCTCCCTGCTGGCGCTGGTGCTTTTCCTTCTCCTCTTCCTCCTCCTCAAATTTTCTCACATTTCTTTACTTATTGACTTAGTGTGTATGTGTGTGCACTGCATGCATGTGCAGCCATGCCATGGAACAGATGTGGGGGTCTGAGGACACCTGCTGGCTTCCCCTTCTGTGGCCTGTGCTCCACAGGTGTGTTGAACAGAAAGCCTGGGCAGTGGCAGGGCCCGCCTGCTTGGGTAGCTTTCCTCTGGAGTCATGGTCCACTACCTGTTGCTTATTGTCTGGGTCTCTGGAAGGATATAAAGGGGTTTTTGTTTGTTTATTTGTTCGTTTTGCTTATTTAATTAGCAATTCTTTCATGGGCGGAAGTAGAAGTTTTGAAATACTCATTCCTGGAAAGTGCTCACGGGAGGCTTTTTGACCATTTCCACATAGTTTATATTTATTAAAACAGTTACATTTCCGTCGAGTGAGTGTGGTTTTATGGTTAAACCCTCCCAAGCCTTGCAAATGACAGGATCTTTTCTCTGTGAAGGTTCTTTCCTGTGGAGATGTGGTTCGTGTGAAGATCCTTGGGATTTTGGCACTTATCGATCAGGATGAAACAGATTGGAAAGTAATTGCTATCAATGTGAATGATCCTGACGCTGAAAAACTTAATGGTAAGTCTGGGCCTTTCCAGAAAAAAGAAGTAAGTCAGTATGTCATGGGATTCATAGAACTGAAAAGGGACACATGTAAGACACAATTTGTATATTTAGATGTTAAACAGAGTTTTAAAACTCTTTTTCTATGTACCACAGAGGTTAGTCTAATTCATTTTTTTGTATGAGTTGTATCGTATTGCTAGAAGGAAAAAAGAAAAAGAAAATTGGAGACAGACAAATGAGCCTCTGTATGGGATACACAGAAATTTGTTTTGCATGTTTCTGTCTACTGCTTTTCCCTTCCTTTCCTTCCATCTTCCTATCTCATCACTTCCTCATCCTTTGTTCTTTTGAGTAGCTGCTTTTGTTCTTTAAGCAGTGTATTTATATGGCTAGTTCTTAATTTGTGTATTTTCTTTATTGACTGGACTTGGCACTTAGAAAGACAGGGACTTTCTAAACATTTCCCAATTCTTCTCTGTTTCTTTTTTTAATATTTTATGTTTCTTCCTAAATTATTCTAATTTAAGTCTTAAGCTCACACCTCAAGCTGTATTCACACTGAGGAACTCTTTCCTCAGGAGTTGTAAACAGCCGTCTACTCCCTCCTTCCAAGGTACCAGGGACAAACTTAAGCACAGTCCGCCGAAGTCCACCTTGGGAAGCAGTGTCTGTCCGGCTTCCTTCAGCATTGGTGAGGGCAATCTGCAGCAGTGTGGGTGTCGTCAAAGCAGCCACACCATCAGAAAGCCATCCCGGCATGGGTGATGACTTTCATATGGATGGACTGCCCCTCCAGAAACGTTCAGCAGTCTCTAGCACCTCTCGAGACTGCAAGGGTTTGAACTTTTGTTTTTAGCTTGTCCTTAAAACATGTAGTACAGTGACTTGAAATATAAATTATCACATGGAGTTGAAATTACTGTCACAAAGAGGAAGTGGTTTTGTAGCAATTTAAATATTGTCACCTGTTATTTTCAGCATTTTGTTTTTCTTTCTTTTTTTTATTCTTAGAGAATTTCTTCCATGAACACATGATCAAATCCCCTTTCTACCTGTTTGCCACTCCTGCCCTTACTAGCTTCCCTCCCAACTTCATATCCTCTTTTGTTGTTGTTGTTTTAAATAAAAGTTCATGAAGTATGATTAGGGCCAAGCATGTGGAGGTAGCTAAGGGGCCATCAGCTGAAGTCTGGTGTGACTGACGGCCACACTCCCAAGGAAGAATAGATGACTCTCTCTCCAAGCAGCCATTCACTGAGGGTAGCTGCTCAGCAGGAGGCGGAGCCTCCAGAGCTCCCTCTCCCACATGTGCTGAAATCCTGGCTGGCTTACCTCGCAGATCCTGTGAAGGTCTTCTGCCACAGAGCCGTGTAAGCTCATGTGTGTCATCTTCAGAAGACAGCATTTCACAGCACCCCTCCCCATCTGCTAGCTTTTATATTCTACTTCCCCACCCTCGGTGTTTCTTGAGACTTGGTGGAGGGTAGGTAGAGGTGGTCGTTCATAGCGAAGGCCCTTTTAGGGCTAGACACTCATAGTCACTTATTCTCCGCACTCTGACCAATTGTGAGCCTCTGCATTGACTGCTGCCTCATGCACAGAAATGCTTTTCTGGACAGCCAAGGTTGAGAGCAGCCCATGTGTTTGGATATAGATAGAAATATTTAGAAGGTAGCTTGATAATAGGACCATTTAGGAAAACAACAATAGCAGGTTCCTCAGGGCCTATGACCTCCCAAGTCATGGACTTTTACGAAAGTACCAGGTAGGAAATTTCCTCCTGTGGAACACAATTCAAATCTAATCAGAAAGTAGCTGCTTACCAGGAACAGTTAGGCCACTGTTAGAGTAGTGAACATATCTTGCCAAGCATGTCAGTATTGAGCTTGCAAGGTTTGGGGCTAAATAAGACCACAGATGTATTCTCTTCTCCTGGCAGCCTGCGTAGCACACTCTGGCACTATGAAAGCTAGCCAGGAAGGAGGGAGCTTCCTGCTGGCTTGGTACTTATCATATTCCTGCAGCCAAAGTTTGTGGTTTCTTCAGCAACCGAGTCTTGTCCTATATAGTTATGGTGGGTAACCAAAGGCCCTGGAAATAACCTGTGTTGTCTTGAAAGCCTCTGGGGCCACCCTGAGCTATAACTCATAGTGGGAGTGCGCCTTTCACCAAGATTTTTATTTAATAACCATGCTTTCTGCAAGTAGCCATTGTTCACCTATGCTGGTATTCACTTTTTTTTTTTTTTTTTTTTTTTTTTTTTTTAGTTAGATTTTAAATTAGCTCACTTTCTGGTGGGTTTCCCTAAGGCTTTTTCATAGATCCTTACTTAGTTTTGGCTAACCCACTGGTTACTTTTCTCCCCCACCACACTGCCTCCATCCCCACTTAACCTGTAACACCTAGTATCCTCCCCCTCTTCTTCCACACCTCACATATTCAACCCTCCCTCTCATTATGTTTTGTTGAGTGGAGAGATAGTGGGTTTCCACAGGCTTTTTCATATACTCCTGCTTTAAGTTAATCATTCCATTTCTCCTATCCTCCTGAGTTCTTCCCTTCTTAAGCCTTTCTGCCCTCAGCATTCTACCTCACTACTTTAATTTTATCTATTATGTACTATCACCCCTGAAACATAATCCCCCCAAACACACACAATGGCCCCTTTCTAGTTTTCTGACTTCCCCTTATGCTCCAAGTTGAAACACACAAAACAAAAGCTTAGAAGCCAGGGTCTCCACTTAAGTGACTTTGTGTTCTGGTCTGGGAATTTGACTATATATTTTCCAGTTCTACTCATTCACATTGCATAGTTCATGATACTACTTTTCTTTCCAACTGAGTAATGTTCCGTTGTGTATAGGTACCTCATTTTCTTATCCACTCATCGAATGATGGGCATCTGTTTCCTTGCAACTGTGCATAGATGAGCAATGAACGTGTGTGCATAAATGTCCGTGCAGTAGGGTATAGAGTCCATTGGGTAAGTGCCCAGTAGTATTTATGCCCAGCTGGGTCATACTGTAGTAGCAAGTTCCATTGCTAGTTTGTTGAGAAGCATCCAGTCTGATTTCAAGGTAGTGGTTTACACTCTCACTGGCAGTGTATCGGAACTGCCCCTGCTAGGTCCACAACAGCATTGTTGTCATTTGTATTCCTGATAATGGCCATTTGAGTAGGTTGAGATGGACTCTTGACGTACTTTTAATCTGCATTTCTCTGCTGGCTAAGGATGTTGAACACCTTTTAAAAAGTCTTTTCTAGCCATGTGTAGTTCTTCTATTGAGAACTTTCTGTTCAGATCCACAGCCCATTCTTTTTAAATTGGATTTTTTTTTTAGGTATTTGCATATTCTAGACACCAATCTTCTGTCCAGTGTGAAGGTGTCAGGGATTTTCTCCCATCCTTTGGGGTGCCTCTTCGCTCTATCGACAGTTCTCCTCACTATACAGAAGCTTTTTAGTTCCATGAGACCTCATGTTGTTGATTTGTAGTATTATTTCCTGTGCTTCCAGAGTCCCTATTCACAAAGCCCTCAGCAGTGCCTGGAAGTTAAAGTATACTTCCTACTTTTCCTCTAGTGTTTTCAGACTTTCATGTATTAGTTACTTTTCTTTTGCTAAAGCACCATGACTAGGGCAAGATACAGAAGCAGTTTATTTTGGCTTACAGTTCCAGAGGGATAGGAGTCCATCATGATGGGGAGACATGGCAGCAGGTAGCAGGCCCTAGCCAGCAGGCATGGTGGCAGGAAGAGGAAGCACATTCAGCTTCCTCTTCAAAAGCAAGCATGAAAGAAATAACTAGAAGTAGCAAGAGCCTTTTGATCTCAAAGCCACCCCAATGACATACTTCCTCCAGCAAGGTTGAAATCAGCTATGGCGTTACCTTCTGTAGTATTTCATTTTGTCCAGGCTTGCTTTGATTGCCCTTAGTCTTTTGGAACTTTTTGGAATTTTTAATAAACAAAAATAAAAGGAAAGTTTGGTTTTTGTTTTTTTTTTAAGTTTGTGAAGGACAGTTATCTGGAAGCTTTTATAAATCTCCTACAATGTTCTCTACCTACCAAGGCAGAGGCAGAGAGCTGATAGAAGCAGTCATTGCAGGTCAGGCAAGGTGGTAACTTAAAGGAACCCAGTCACAGAGTTGCCTTTGAAGACTGTACTAGCTGCAGGTTCAGTGGGTTACATCAAACCGGGGCATCACAGCACATAAGGACCTTGGGCTCTGGGGGTTGTGTGCTGTCCTGTGGTATGCTCACCCATTTGTCTGATGATGGGTCAGTGGCTATTATGTCCCATCTTCTATATAACCAACGTGAGGGGTTCTGCATTCTTGGTTCTAGTGTCTGAGAAGTTTGTGGGCCTGCTTTCTCTGTATGGTTTCTTGGTGGGAAGTGCTGGGAGTTTTATCCGGCTTTTACATGAGTTCTAAGGCTCTGTACTAAAGTCCTCATGTTTGTGTGTTGGATACTTTACATACTAAGCCATCAATGTAGTTTTAATTTGCACTTATTTCCCTGATGGCTAAGGATATTGGTCGTTTTTCATATATTTATTGGCCAGGCTTGCATCCTCTTTGGAGAACTGTCTGATACCATTTTGTGTGTTTCTGATTTACTGTGATAAGCTCACAAGTGGTACATTATTAAAAAAAAATGTTTCTTTTGCAGTTTTTAAAACTTAAAATATAATTATGCCATTTCCTACCCTCGAACCTTTCATAACACTGCCGCTCACTCTCAAATTCATGGCTTCTTTTTCTTTAATTATTATTACTGTACACATGCATAAATATATAACTAACACCTTTGGGGCTCTTTAGTCTTACTTGTATTATTCCAGGACTGACTAGTAAGTAGCACTTTTTTTAATTGGTTAGGTTTTATTTTCTTAATTTTTAATTGGCATAGCATAATTTTATGCTTTTATGGATGTGATTAGATTCTTTTTCTTTTTTAATGTAATTTTTTATTTATGAGAATTTATTCACTTTGTATCCCAGCTGTAGT